CCTGTTGGTTTATTATATGGCCCAAATACTCTACTTGAGTCTGTCCAAAGCTACATTTAGACCTTTTTGCATATAACTGGTGCTTTTGAAGGATTTCTAGTACTGATCTGAGATGGTGGCAGTGGGAGGTTATGTCTTTACTGTAAACCAGGATATCATCAAAGAATACCAGCACATAGTCCCTCAACTGGTCCTTGAATACTTCATTCATAAGACTCTGGAAGGTGGCAGGAGCATTTGTGAGGCCAAAGGGCATTACCTCGAACTCGTATAGCCCCTGGTGAGTTTTGAAAGCAGTTTTAGGAGTGTCAGCCTCTGTGACTCTGATTTGGTGGTACCCCTCCCTGAGGTCGATTTTAGAATAAAACTTCGACCCATTTAATTCATCTAAAAGTTCATCAATCAGAGGCATGGGAAACTTATCCTTGATAGTGAGGTTGTTTAACTGTCTGTAATCCACGCAAAAACGCCATGTCCCATCCTTCTTCTTGACTAAGAGGACTGGGGATGCGAACGGGCTATTGCTATGCCTGATTATGCCACTATCTAGCATCTCCTTAATCAGTTTTTCGATTTCTGATTTCTGTATGAAAGGGCATCTGTACGTCCTGATTTTGAAAGGTTGAGCGCCCTCTTTCAAGGGAATATGGTGATCATGGGATCGAGGAGGTGGCAACCCTTTTGGTTCCTCAAATACCCCAGAAAATTGTCTGACTACTTCTGAGGTCTGGTTTGGAATTTCTTCCACTTCCTTCTCAGTGATGGAATACAATTGCCCAACCAAACCATAGTGTTGCCCCTTGAATAGACTTTGCATTTCTTCCCCTCCCATCATCCTCACACGAGGTTCTGTGTTCTCACTCTTCAATGTGATTTCTTCCTGCTGGTGCCAGAATTGGACATATCCTTGTATGAAATCAAACAGGATAGGACCAAATTGACTCATCCAATTAACCCCCAGCACCATATCACTTCCCCCAAGATTTAAGGTCCCCATCTTATACTGGAACTCCCATTGATGTACCTTCCAAACCAGTGGGTGAATCACAGCTCTACTCTCCAGCTTTTCACCGTTTGCTACTCTCACCGTCATAGTTTTAGATCTTTCTATAGGGTAGCTCAACTCTTTAGCCAGTTTCTCATCTATGAAACTATGGGTGCTGCCACTATCTATTAGAATAGATATCTTCCTTCCTTTCAATATTCCTGGTATTCTAATGGTTTTGTGCCTTGGGTTCCCAGCCAAGGCACTGATTGATATCTCCATTACTTTCTCTTCATCTGTTTCGTCCTCCTTTTCCTCTCCACCTTCACCTTCACTCTCCTCATCCACCAATATAAAGTTCAAGGCCCTATTCTTGCAAATATGCCCTGCAGTATATTTCTCATCACACTTGTAACACAACCCCAGGCTTCTCTTGGTTTGAAAATCAGTAGGAGTTATGGTTCTATAGTTGTTTAGTGGCTTACTGGTTTTTGGCCATGGTTCTTTGGGTTTGTTTTCTTCAGGTGGTTTTGGAGGGTAGGGGTTCCATTTGTTAGGGGTGAAACTCTTAGGTTTTTGGTATTTATTTAAGGCTTGAATGGTGGACTCTTGCAGGCTAGCTATCTCAAATGCTTTGGCTAGGGAATTTGGTTTCATCATCTTCACCATAGATTTAATCTCCCCTCTCAATCCACTTGTAAATACAGCAATGTAATATGATTCAGGAGCATGTGGTAGGGCTAACATCACCTGTGATTTAAGTTCTTCAAACTTCTCTTGATATTCATCAATGGATCCCAGCTGTTTGATTTTGCTGAAGATCTCTACCACTTCCTCTCCAGTGGTTTCGGCAAATCTCCTGCATACTTCCTCA